GAGGAAAAAAGCTAGAAACCAATGGCCTCATGACCAAAATAAAAGAGAAAAAGAAACCACGTATACAGAATATCAGAAAAGCGCAAGTAGAATATTGAGGAATGAAAAACGAAAATATACTCGAAAGTTATTGGAAGAAGCAGAGGCAGACACAAAAATGAATAGAATAAGGCGGTTGTACCAAAAAAAAAAAATCTGTAAGAGGAGAATACAGAAAACATAACAAGTTCTTAAAAAATAAGGATGGTTCACTGACGACAGGACAGGAAGAGATTTTAGAAAAATGGAGGCAATATTTTGGCTTCTGCTCAATTGCGAAAATCCAGAAGAAACTTTTGAATGGACACTAGTAGAATCTAACGATTGCGAATACCTGCCCCCAACTAGCAATTAAATAAAACAGCAAATAAAAAGACTAAAAAAACAAAAATCTCCCGGGGAGAATGGGATTTATGGAGGAATATTAAAAAAAATTAGACGAGGAAACAATATCAAGAATACACAGTATAGTTGAAAGGGTTTGGCAGGAGGAAGTACTCCTGGATGAGTGGATTATTGCGCTAGTGTGCCCTATCCACAAGTGTGTTATTTATTAGATACCATAAAACCATACTTTTGTATTTTGTATAGTGTTTAATAAATTTCGGGTAATCACCTGAGAATGAACTATTGTAAAAAAAATATAATACAAATTACCCAAAGATGTTTCCATGACAAAGGTAGCAATAAAAAAAATAGGGTTAATATATACGAAAAATATATATGAACATACATATAACACATTATTTAGTAAGTGTATCACCGTCAATGTGGAAACAGTTTTATTAAAGTAGGACGCAAAAGACAACGTTATTTTATAAAATAACAAACCAAAACATATTTTTAAAAAACATGTGTGATAAAATAAACATTTTCGGTTAACGTTGCAAAGTACAACTCAAAATTGTTCAAATATATTTCGACAAAAATTAGAAGAAATATCGAATATATTATTATTTAGTGATACACAATTCGAAAAATCATTGGTGATAAAATTCTGTATTAAAAGTTACCTGTTCAAATAAAATTATAATGTCGAATAAGTGTTATAGCAACCTGTACACCCACTCAATATATGAAATGCGTGTTAAGATTGAAAAATTCCCCCACCTGGGGACAGCTATTTTGTGTACCAGTTTCAAAGAAAGTTATCCAAAAATGGTTATCGACCATTCAAAATGTGTAGTAAATTATTTTCAATTTAAAAATTTAATGCAATGTATGCGTTAGAAATTTCTTAAGTTTCAAAACGGGGTAAAAACAAAGAAAATTGTAAAACATTTAGATCACATTGTATGATAACAAAATGAAAAAAAGATAATTAAATTTCATATTAAACCCCCATGAAATATTGAGTATAGATCACTCTGTATATGTTATAAAACAACGCGAAAAAATTCTGGTAGTCTTTACTGACCTTTGTGACATTCGTACAACCTTCATCTAATGTAATAATGTTAAATGCAAATAAAACTTACCCAAAGATGTTACCAAGAAAATTACTGCTATAAAAAAAATGGCGAATTTTTTCATATTGTATGTATGAAATTTTTTTTATTCTTTAAAAAACTATAAATTGTACGATTGACAACCTCAAAATGTACAGAGAAGAACTTAAATGAACATAACATACATTATATTTTAGCAAGTATTGTTCAGACCATGTAGAAACAGTTGTATTTAAGTATGACGCAAAATGCAATGTTTTTCGTAAAACAACAAAACGATTCACGTTTCTCAAAAATATGGCACTCATGCAAAATAGAATATAGTTTCATAGTCAGTGTTGGGAAAAGATAACTTTAAAGTTATCTAGATAAGATAACGGATAATTGAGTAATATACCATCTAGATAAGATATTAAATTATTCATTTAACATTTATTTAGCTAAAAGATAAAGATAAATACAATTTTATCTAGATGAAAAATAGATAAATTAAATTTTAACCTTCATAAAATGTTATACGAAAATGTATGAGTGAAACAAAGTATTTTCACAGATTACAGAATAATTTAATAACCAATAAGACGTAGGTACTAAGAAATGGACAGTTACGTCCAAGAGCAAATTTTCCTTATATTAGATTTCGTGATTTATGGCTACTCTGTTCACTCTGTTTATGTCATCTTTTATGTAGGCAACAGTAATAGTATAAATAGGTATAAAAAGTAAATACAAGTTTATCAAACTCGATAATCGATGACGGGACATTTCATTATCGGTTGAAACTATTTATAAACATATTGTTCTTTTTTGAGGCTTAACTATCGTTTTGGCCACATACGGTCTACGGACTACGGAGAGCCCACATTATGTTTAAAATGTTTATTACAAGGTTTTGTTATTTTATTTTGATTGAAAATACAAATAACTTTTTGGAAACGGCTCATTGTTTATTGGACTTGTATTACTATTTACTATTTTACTTTTATAGTCTTTACTCTTTACCCTATATGTAGTTACTGATACAGGACTCGCCTGACATGTATATATATTTGTAAAATATAATTTATAACCATTCTGCTCAAATAAACACCTGCACTTTCGACCATTTTTTTTGTTGGGATTTTGGTCAATGTTAATCTTGAAATTATTATCGTAAAAATTCTTATAAACACGTTTTATATAGCACTAGTAATTATTTCGAGAGTACTGGGAAAAAAATTATCAACATTAAATAAAAACTAAGCACTGTAGTCGAGAACTACGAATATAAATAATAAATTATACGATAATACATATATAACTCTTATCTACTTCTACCTATTAAAAATAGGTAAAAGACGTTTTGTATAATCGACTAAAATACATTGGATTACAATGGAATATTGGACTTGTCTAACAAGCCAACCCCAATGTATTAATAATATATTCTTATATCACTAATCACTATTCATTAGGACCTAGGTATATTAATATTTTTAGGCTTGGACTACATTATGCGTTTCGTCGGATCCCGAAACCTGTTTTTGTAAAACCCACGAATAAATAACTTAAAAAATAGTTACAATTTTTATCTAGATTAATTACCTCAGATAACCGATTTGTTTATCTAAATAAGATAATAAGATGATTTATTTTTTTTTATCTAGATAAGATGTTATTTACAATTTTTATCTAGATGATTTATCTAGATAAAATTATCTAGATAATTCCCAACACTGTAATCATAGTCTTACAATTGTCAACAAATTTAAACAAATCCTTAAAACATGTTTACATATGTTATATTGCCAATAATTTGTAAATGAACATTTTTGTTGTTTCGTTACAATAATATACATTTTTCAACCAATAAGTCATTTTCAATACAATACAATATTCGAACAATAAGCATAATATGTTATTGTTTATATATACAATTAGCAGTGTATCACTTGTTTGAAGAAACCATCCAGTGATGGAACTGCGTTGGCTGGAAGAGTAAAGTTTATGCTACCCGGTCTCTATACAAATTTTTTTTTTTGGCGACGAGGTGGGTTTTCAGGAAGATCACTGGAGATCAGGTCATTATTAGTGGATTAGGATTCCCCTGGAGTCTATTTTGGAACCTTTTATATTGAATTTCGGCTACTTCGACTACAGTAGGGATAAATGTCCCGGTGGAGCGATTTGTTAGAAACATAAGGAGGTGCTGCAAGGATGGTGCTAAGGACTAGGGATTGAAACACTTAGATTCTGTTTGTGTTGGAGATTTTCGCTGAACCCCAAATTTCTATACCATAAGATAATACTGGATTAAGTAACATTTTGTACAGCGTAAGTCTTGTTCTTGAATTAATATGTGATTTATTGTTTAGTAGTGACCGAAGAAGCCTTGGGCGCTGATTTAGGACTATTCTTTTTAATGTAATTGTTACCTTTTGATGTGCTGTTATTAGTCTTACAATGATGTTAGTAGTAATAAAATGGGGCTTTACCGCCCATTTTAATACATATTTTAGAAAACAAACTGGTAACCAAAAACAAAACCTCTTTATATAGGTAGCATAATATATTTTATTAATCACATGAATTATAACATTTTACAATTTATTAATCAATGTAACATAAAGTAAACTTACATAAAGGTTTTCTGTCTTTATTATTCAAACACCTAGAAAGCTATATCAATTACAAATTACATTAATTCTGCATAACGCACATGAAAATTATCCTGAAGAACCTAATTATTTTTCTCCTCTATTAGTTTCATCTAACTACAGAAGTTCTCCGAGTTCTCTGAGTTCTGGGTACACAATTTTTTTACATAATAGTTGTGCTACTCGATATCCACGTTGAAAGATTAAGTCCACATCAGAATGGTTGAATAGGAGAACACCAACGTTTTCACGGCAGTATCATTATTAAAGATTCGGTTCTTCAGGATAATTTCCATGTGTATTTTGCAGAGTTAATGTAATTTTTAATTGATTTAGCTCTTTAGGTGTTTGAATAATAAAGACAGAAAACATTTATGTAAGTTTACTTTATGTCACCTAGATTGGTATATCTTAAAGTATTATAATTAATGTGATTAAAAAAAGATATTATTTAAAGATGCTATATAAAGAGATTTTGTTATTGGTTACTAGTTTGGTTTACTAATAATTGCATAAAAATGGGCGGTAAAGCCCCATTTTATTACTACTGATGTTTTATGTGTGTTGTTTTATAAATTAACACACTGTTGTTAGAGACAATTCTACATCTACAAATTATTATTTACAGATTTAGTAATGGATACATTTCGATTGCGAATTTTGCGTATTATCTGTACAATGAACAATGTATAAGAGCATTCGTCAAGTTATTTACCATATTTATAAAATATACCAAATGGTATGATGTATACAAGGTGCTTCATAAAAGGTAAGGCTACATTTAATTTTTAAATAATTAAAATTTATAGTTTTTATTGTTAAAAATATTTAATTTTATATTTTGTACTATATAATAAACAAATGTATGCAAGAGTTGATTATGAATTCATGTACTATGTGTTTTCGAATTAGTAAAAGTTGACCCAATTTAATTATGCAAATTTATATGCATTTAATAAGCAATTGAATATGTCTGCAAAACGTTTGGTTCCTTTCTGTAATCATAAAAATTGTATTAATTCATAACTCAAATAGAATTAATTTTTAAATTATTACCTATGTTTAAAATAACCAGTGTAAATTTGATATGTTTGGTGTTTACTTAAAATCTCTAGGAAAGATAATATATAAAGAGTTATGTATAACGATTTACCTTATGCTTAATGATGGCTACATGAATGACAACGGTGCATAGTATTAATGTGATGAATATGATGATGATGACTACTACTACCAAGATGTTGCAATTTGTGTTCTACATCTGAAAAGTTTAAATTTCCATTCTAAATATAATAACTTTTTTATAAAATATAATTATGTAAGTAAATCAACAAATTAATAACATACATATTTTTAATAAAAAAAATTATTATTTTTTAAAAAAAAGTAAAGACTACTTACCATCTTTTAAATTAGCACAATAAACGTAACCCAATTCACCAATGCAAGTGCCGCAAGCACATACAACATTTTTCACACCTTTACATATATTTCCGGCAGCTACAAAATTATTTAAGCAAATACAATATCAGATATTTAAAAATACAATTAACAAAATTAATCAAAAATCGTTTGTGTAAAATGGTTAAAAATAGGCACAAACTTTGAACATCTGTACTACTTTTATCGTTTGGTACATAAGTTATTAACGATAATATTACACTAAACTAGTCTAAAGTAAAGTTCTGTCCCCTTTAATCAAAACGGGTTCCATTAACTGTTAATTATTTGCCAAGTTGACATATTGTACAATGTACATGGACATAGAGTCTATTTTTTTATATTCTTTAATTGTTTGAAGGATGTTCGATTTGAGAACTATTAACAATCAAACATCTTAAAATAAATTATAAAAATATTTCGGACGTCCAAGATAATAAACTTAGCTTTAATCATATATATTTTTGGTACCATAGTTGAAATGTGTAAATAAACTGAATGAGAATATAAAGTAATGAATAAACATACCCTTTTTTATTTTATTCCTACAACCTAAAAAAACAATAAAAAAAACTAAGATATGCATGTTAAAATAATTCAACAGATTAGAAAATATTAATTCGTTTAAGTTTATGACATTTAAGTATTCTTCACGAATAACATAAAAATAATAATAAATCTTAATCTTTTGTAAAATTGTTGTGATATATTGTCGTCATATTTGTGTATAATTTATAATTACCAATTTATGTATAAAGTAGGTAACTACAAACACTGTAATCATTACTAACCCGTTGCCTCATTTGACGGCTGATTATCCAAACTTGGATCAACTAATTCAACAAATTACACAAATCAAATTACTGTTGGCAACTATAATATGACATTATGTTGTGTAAAATATTATCATTAAGTAGGTATCATATAGTACACATTTTTAGAGTAACATTAAAAAAGTTTTTATATAAAAAAAAAATGTATATTTATTTACTTTTTTGCTTAGCTTTGGTGCAATGTATGTAACACACAACAATTATAAATTTATAATTATTGCCATCTATAAACGTACAGTTAATCTACTTCCAGTCATATATTATTTTACGTTAACAGTATACAATAAATTAGTGCAAATGTGTAAAACTTATTTGGAAAAATGTATATAAAAAGTTAGTTAAATTTATAACGTTCGATAATTATTGTTTTTTGTTACTTACAATTGGTATCAGACAGCCCTTCTGTGGCAACAAACAAAAATAGGTATTAGATACACTCATGTTTTACACAAACATTTAAGCTAATCAAATATCAGATAATTTCAAATATAATGAATGTTATGTAACAAAATTAATTTGTGTACAATTTTTAATGAGCACAAAATTATGTAGTTAAAGAAACAAAGTAATGAAAAATCATACCTGGAACTATAGTTCTCCCACAATCAGCACAAACTAAAAACAATTATAAACTATTAGGTGTGTTTAAATTATTATTAATTTTTATCTTAATAATTAGTTTATACTTGACAGATTTATGGACTTATTTGTTTCAAATATAATTATTAGCTATTTATACGATATTGCGCATCATTTCGCGATGCTTCATTAACAATACAATATACAAACGTGATCTGTACACATAATGTGTGAAACACCTCCAATGTGTTGCCTGGTGGTTTGAACATAAAATGTTCGACGAACATCACGGTAAAATAAAAGGAAAACGATAAGAATAAGTACTTACAAAATGGTAAGTAAAAACTAATTACATTTTAAAAATAAAATATTAACTATTAAAGTCTTCAATTAAGTGACTATTAGGTAACTGTATTGTCTGTACTGACTATATATTATCTTACCCGGTGGCGGCGGTGGTCCATCCGGATTTTTGTCAACTAATACAACAAATTATATAAATACATTAGTTATTAATGTTTGCTAAGTGTAAATTGGCTTCACAGTCTGTAGAAAAATAATAACTAATAAGGTTCAAATAGGAATCATGCTTATACGTTTTTATATTAACGTTGGACACAGTATTTACGTTAATAAAAAATAATACATTTTTATTTAAATTGTAAACAAAAATGTTAGTATCTACGCTAAACGAGGATACATCGGCTAATAAATATGTCTCTATTCTTATCTCTGATCTCTAATGATTTATCTCTAATCTTTCGCCAGAATATTAAAAATTATTTATCAGCTGTTTCGTTCACAAAACTACCGCTATTTTCTGATTGTTCCCGAACCATTTTAAATATTTTTTTTTTTTTGTTTTACCCCACTCCCAAACCAATTATTTCTTGAAATTAAGGTTCAAAAGTTGCTATTAGAAAAACCAAGTTGGGGGGAGGGGGTAAAATCAAAATCAATATAAAAATAAAAAATGTCTTATTAAATCCTATGAGATATTGAGTGGCCCATTAAAAAAGAATCACCATGTACATAAAACAACGTAAAATAACTCAGTCAATACTAACCTGAAATTTCCGGCTTGTCACCTATTACAACAAATAATACAAAAGAGTTACTCTTTGCTAACATCATTGTAGTAGTGTCATAATAGTATAAAGAAAAAAATATGAAATTGGTATCATTTTTTACACGTTTTAGTTTTTATCTTGGTGCAACTTTAAATTAAAAAAATATATTTATTATTTTAATCAAATATTTTGTTTAGTTGTTAGAAGCTGTGTAATACACTAAAACCAGTTAACAATAAATATAATCTGTAAGCGGATTCTACTTCAAGGCCTATTAAAATTCACGATTATGTCTTACAATAAAACAGGACAAATGTACAAGATATATATTTAAAATATTATAATAATAAATGTAAGTAAAATATGTAACAGACACATTTTTATTTTATGTTTGTTACTTACCAGGTGGTTTTGGAAAACCTTGTGTGACTAAATTATACAACAAAATTGGGTGTTAATATAAATTCATACTAGCGTAAAAAATTGTACGGGGAAAAAAATATGTTCATGTAATCAACTTCTTTCAACATCAAGAGACATTCAAATTTGTTACCATGAAATTATAATTGTAATGTTCGGTTAATTTCGGATAATCATCCCGTGAATGAACTGTTATAAAAATTATAGAATAAAAATTACCCAAAGATGTTTCCAAAATAATGACTGCTATACAACAAATGGTAATTTTTTTCATATTGTACGTATGCAATATTTTTTATTCTGAAAAAACCGTAAAGTTGTACGGTAGAAAACCTCAAAATGTACAGAGAAAAACTTCTAAGAGCATTACATACATTATATTTTTGCAGTTGTTATTTAGATCGTGTAGAAACGGTTTTTATTTAAGTATGACTCAAACGGCAATGTTATTTGTACAATAACAAAACGATAGGTACATGTTTCTAAAACACCTGCGAAACGGAGCAAAAACGTTGATAGCAATAAACAATTTTGGTTAACGTAAAAAATTACAATTATTTAATACTTCAAATATTCCAAATATTTTTAGAAAAAAAATAGTCGAAATGGCAAATTTATTATGACATTAAGCTTTAAGTCAGAAAACCCTTCTTGATAAATTTGACATGCCAATAGAAGCTTATTGATACTATATTTAACAAAAACAAGTTTATAATGCACATTCATATTCATATTGCAAAGCTATTGCTATGATTACTATGTAAAATCCAAGTATATGAATTGGGAAAATCAGTTAACTAAAAAACTGTTTTTTTCCTTTAGGAAACCCTACATTATTTGTTTTTCTTAGTATTTGGCAATATTTTGGTCGATACTTAATTTTATAACCAATATATTAAATGGATTTCTGTGAGTTTACTGCATTTTACCTTAGGAAAAAAAATGTGGAATAATTTAATTATCTGGTGTACGAAATAAACTCAATTTCCTAAATTTGGCGTTTCTTTTTAAGTGTGCAGCATACAAATTAACTGATTAATATACAAAATAAACATAATTATACGATAAATACAGGCTGGTTCATTAAGGATAAAACAATATGCTAATTTGTTTTACAATACTATTAAAAAACCACTACTTAGTACCTTTTTAAGTAATTTTCCGAGAGCAATTTACTAATATCATATTTAACCAAACTAATCATAATTCCTTAACATTTAATTCAATCCATAGATTTATCTAGACAAAACTGTTTGAGATTTTTCAAGATGTCGGCATAGCTTTTAACGATAGAAGAATCATATACACACTACAATTAAACAAAACTACAATAATAAAATCATGCGAAAACATATCAACCAAGTTTGCAAACTTGTATTAATACAAAACAAGACATTTTAAAATTGCCAAATAGTATGAGTTTATTAGAAATTCATGAAATATATGTTTTTTGATTAGTAAAAGTTTACACAATTTTGATATATATATATATATAAGACACTGTATATTTCTACAACACGTTTGATCCTTTCTGTAAAAATCAATTAATTTACATAATGTTAACTATGTAAAACATAACTAGTGTAAATTAATTAAATGTTTTGTATTTTCATAAAATCTCAAAGGAATGATATTTTATTATTATATATATATATATATATATATACATAATATATAAAAATATTGGATTTGTTTACCTTATGATTACCAGCAGCATCTATGATGATGATGATGAGGATTTTGAGGATTTTGAGGATAATAAGGATTTTGAGAATAATAAGGATGTTGAGGATTAGGAGGATAAGCATAATATTGAGGATATTGAGGATATTGAGGATATTGAGGAGGACGAGGATCACTATGATGATGGTGATGAGCAGCAGCTTCATCATCATCATCATCATCATCAGCAGCTTGATCATCAGCTAAAATGTTTTAATTAATGTTCTATTAGTACTAACTAATTTATAAATAGTCGTGTAAGCGAATCTCTAAATTTATAACATATATCTTTAATTTAAAAAAAAATTATTTTTTAAAAATAAATAGAGAATACCCACGTGGACAGTTAAAACACCCAAAGCAATTACTAATGCTGTTTCCCAAGGTCTCACACATGCTTCCCAGACCTACACAATAATTTAAGCAAACACAATAATAGTTATTACAAAATATAATGAACGTTACGAAACAAAATTAATTTATGTAAAAGACTACCTACTATCACATAGTCCACCAACGCAATTATCAACACCTTCACCTGTGCAATTAGGGCGATTAAAAAAAATTAGTTCTTTTAAAAATAAGTAAAGACTACCTACATGGACCATAACAGCAATCATTACAAACGTCCGGTGGTAGCATTCCCTCCACATCAAAGGGAACTAATACAACATATTAGGTATCAATATAAATTCCTAGTCGCATACATACATTTGTGAAATATATGTATCATTATATGATCTTTTTGAATTTTCTTTCAACCTCAAGTGTCATTTAATTAGATACCATAAAATCATAATTTTAGCTCTATTATATATACTACTGACCAGATGCGTCCGGTGGCTGCATATCATCTACATCATAGGGAACAAATACAACAAATTATAGAAATCAAATTAATGTTTGCTAACTAGAAATTGGCTCAACAAATTGTAGAAAAATAACATCTAATTAGGTTTCAGCAGGAATCATGTTTTATTATAACTTTGGTGCAGCTTTTAAATTCAAAAATAAACAAATCGTTGTTTCTATAAAATATCTTTTTTCGTTTCTGTACTGTTTTCTATTTTTAGGCCTATATTACCTCAAGATATCATTACACAATACATAAGTATAAATTAATAAGATAAAATAAAAAAAAGTAAAAGATTTAACGTTTCATGATTTATGTCTGTTACTTACCCACTAGATCACGAGTTCCTAAACAATAAAACTATATATTAATACAAATTCTTCCTCGCATACATACATTTGTTAGTAAAATACGATTATGTGATCATGTTGAACTTGATAGGACAAAATCATAATTTTAGGTATTAACTCTATTGTCTACACTGTCCATATGCATCCTACCCAAATCATCTAAGTTTCTGTACTATTTTATTTTGTTTAGGCCCATAGTACTGCACGATAATATTATACAATACAATCAATATAAATGTAATAGACAAAACGAAAAAATGTGTATAAAAATAAAAGTAAAATATATAACGTGGCGTTATTTATATTCGTACTTACTCGTTGATAATGGTAAACCTTAAGTGATTAAACAAAATTAATTATTAATTTAAATTCATACTCGTTCACATAATTTAGCGAATAAAATATGATTATGTGATCATGTTGAAATTCTTTCTAACGAGGTGTAGCGTTGAGGTGCCGGGTTTAACCGTTTATAGCTATCGGTCCCCGCCCTTTCAGTGAGTAATATAATATTATTATGTGATAATTTTAAACTTCTTTTTAACATCAAACGTCATTTAATTAGATACCATAAAATTAAAATTTTAGCTACCAATTTATAGTCTATACTAACCTCCTGCGTTCGCCAGCCGCGGCCCATCCACACCAGCGTCATCTAATCCAACAAATGTAAAAATTAATGCCTTTAAAATGTCTTATTTTAATTTCGAGCTTAGTGGTACAGTAGACATCTTTCGGTGAACAATAGAATAGACATTTGCAATATTTTAATAACTGTTTTTTTTTTAATAACACTTTTACAAACATTTTTACATCTTTAATTTTTTGTTATAAACATTTTCTTTTACCAATGTATATTTTCACCAATAATATGTATACTTCTAAAGAATGAAATTTAATTTTAAACATATCTTAAAATATAGTTTCAAACGTTCATTGGTATTTGACGTTTTGACCCATTTAAAATATGATGAAAAAATGTAGTCTATACTGACCGTTTGTAGGCGGTGCATCATTCACTGTATTGTCACCTAACCCTAAATTCAAAAAGTCAAAAATCAAAATGTCCATTAGGAGCGATACCACTCGTTAAAGATTATAATTTACAGTAAATAAATACAAATGTATAGGATTTTAAGTAAAAACGTTTTATGTAATTCATATAGAAAAACTAATGATGATTTAAAGTTACGCCTTGATTCTCTTACGTCCCGGTTCGATGCGATCGTAAGCGAAATGGTGGATTTGCAAAACAAGTTTGAGACACTCCACACTTGAGTCCTAGCGCTTGAATCTCATGCCACTGACAATTCATCGTCAACCACTGCTTTCGATGTCATCCAGGAGCTTTCTGAACGTGAAAGAAGTAAGGCCAATGTAGTTATCCATGGGCTGCCTGAGTCTACCTCCTCTGACCTCGCATCAAAAATTGCCGAGGACAAAAGTAACTTGACGGATTTTTTTGCTCAATTGTCTTCTAATGAGCCTACTGAGTTTAAACATATACGTCTTGGGAGAAACTTGTCCACATCTCCACGACCTACCAAAGTGATATTTGCCTCGAATTCCATTGCTACTCAAGTTCTGACTACCTTCCGCTCTGCAAAAACTCGTTCTCCTTCGTTCCAACCACAAATCTCTATGGTTCGGGACAAAACTCGTCTCGAACGTGAAAAATTACGTGCATGTCACCGAGAACTAGATGAACGTCGTAAAAAC